GCGGGCCTGCGGGGCTGCGGGCTAGGGGCGGGAGGGGGCTGCGGAGGTCGCCGGCGCTGGCCGGGCGGGGGCGAGGGCAGTGCGCCGGCGAAGGGGCTGAAGTCTTTGCAGGGCTCGGGTCGCAGGGATGGGGGACGCCCTTCGAGTCCGCAGCGAGCTCATGTTGCGAGGGGAGTAGTATAAAGGGCAGGACTTGGGGTTGTGTGCATCAGGGCTTTTTCGGGGGAGCGCTCGTGGGCCGTGACCTGGGTGAGAAACTTCCGAAGGTGGCAGCTTAGGTGGGTTTTGTTGTTTGTTTTCATTTTTAAGTCCCTTTTATACAGTAGTGTTTTGAAGTGTCTAAGCAGACCGAACTTAGCTGACTTAAAGGAGGGATTTATCAACACCTTGTAAAAAAGACCAGAGGTCCTGGTTACCACTCCCTCCCTCCCTTCCCTTACCCCTGCCACCCTCGCTTTTTTTTTTTTTTTTTTTAAATCAACCTCCCCAGTGCATTCATCCCTGGATTTTTAAGGAGGGAGGAGGAACAGCGCGAGGAATACAAGGTATGCTCACAAATGCCTTCCCATTCCTATTATCTGAGAAGATTGAAACCGATACAGGGATTTCTGGGCTAAGTGGGTGAGAGTGGAACACTGGTTTGGGAGCATATCAAAAGGCCGATAATGCCCGTGTGAAGAAACTTGGGAAGTAGGCAATTTGAGAATGTCTTCTAAGGTTGCTTTGGAATGCTATAACAACATTACCTCCTCACCCCTCAACTACTGTGCTTTTTGGAGACCGAATGGGAAACGTGTGCCAGGTATGCAAATGAGAGTTCGGAAATGAGGAATTTCATAAACATTTACAATACAAAGCTGTCAGATACCTCCACGTGGGAAACGGGTTATGGCTCTTTATTGTGTTCCTGCGCACAGGAGAGCAGTATTGTGGAAGTGAACACACTTCCTTTTTGAACTCCTGTAGTAAGAGATACCTCCTGGTCCTGGGCTCCAAAATGAAAGTAATGTGGATGGTATTTCATGTGCTGATTTCTAATGGGGATACTATTGTTAGGTGTTCACAAATGCCCATTGGAATCTGAGTCAGGATTTTCTCTGGTTTCACAGACCGTTTCTATTTGTTTTAGGACAGTGACTTCAAAACAGGTGGGAAACATCTTAGTTTTGAGACCGTTGGGTTGATTTTAGGGAAGAGGCTATTTTAAGGGAGAGTAAGTCATACTTAAATTTGTTGGGGACCATGTGCCTGTTAATCAAAGGCATCTTCATTTACCTCTGCCACAATGGCCACTATCAGCATTCCCTACAAGTTTGTATGTGAGGTGTTTGATGAGCACTTGTATGTAAGTCATAGCTATTTTTGGAAAACTTGGAAGTCCCATTGGTTGTGGCTGGCTGGAGTAGTACCCTGACTCCTGGCCATCTGCAGAGTGATGACATTCAGTGTTCTTCCCAGTGATTCGCCCCATACAGACAGATGATAAGCTCGGAATGCTCGATAATGTTTGCCCTCTTTGTTTTTGCTAATGAAGATGCTTGAAATTAGCAGGCTAGGTTGAAGGAATTCTATACAGGGAAACTACTTTTCACATCTCAGAGGAAAGGTTTTAATAACTTCCTCCTCTTGATGAGTTTCATGTTAGAATGGCTCTATTTTGGATTCTCTGAAGAATTCTACATTTCCCTTAAAGGGTCCTTAATTGTTCTAGTTGGGAACAGTTATCCTGTCCTGACACTCAGAAGCTATTTAAAACCTAGAATGCTTCCCTTCCCTTATTGGTCAGTTGTGCATGGGACAGACGGAACCCTTCATAGCCTCCCAAGAATTTTAGTGAGAAAAATGTAGTACTCTTGAAATATGTCCTCAGTATGTACTAGCGTCTGAAAGAGGATACTTTGTGATATTACTGAATACCCCAGACTGATATTCGAATTATCTATAGAAATTACTTACAGGCAGGTTTCTGTGTTTTTTCTTTCCTTATTTTTTTAAGAAAATTTTTTAATGTTTGCTTATTTTGGGGAGAGACAGAGCGTGAGCAGGGGAGGGGCAGAGAGAGAGAGAGAGAGAGGCACAGAATCCAAAGCAGACTCCAGGCTCCGAGCTGTCAGCGCAGAGCCCAATGCAAGGCTCAAACCCACAAACCATGAGATCTTGACCTGTGCTGAAGTCAGATGCTTAACTGAGCCACCCAGGCACCCAACAGGTTTCTGTGTTTTAGTCACTTCTTGACTTGGATAAAAGCCAGCAACACAGTTTACTGTTGTAGGATAAACAACTTGAAGTCAGGTTGGTTCTTATAAACCTGTCATCCTTGGCAGCTGTGCTAGAATTCATCACATGTTCTTGATGCTAACTGGAGCCCTATGAAAACCTGCCAGTTTCAGTGAAAATTTAATGTTCTTTTTGCTTCCTCTTGATTTATGGGCTTTTTATTCACGTTTACCTTGTCTCATTTGTTGTGATTTTTGGAACATCAGTCAGTCAGTGTTTGGTTGGCTTTCCCAACTTTTTTTTTGAGGGAGAGAGAGAGGTGGGGGTGCAGAGAGAGAGGGGGACAGAGGATCCAACGCAGGCTCCACACTGAAAGCAGCGAGCCCTGTGTGCGGCTCGATCTCCCCAACCATGAGATCATGACCTGAGCTGAAGTCAGATGCTCAATCGACTGAGCCACCCAGGCGCCCTGGCTTTCCCAACTTTAATGCCTCTTCAGCTACAGTTTCTGCTCACACGATGAGTACAATATTTATAAAAAGAACTGACAAGTAAGGCCTCACCAGGCAAGATCTTCCCATGTGTTACATTTCATTGAACAAGTTTAAACAGTAGCCAGTGAAGCATATGTTTCTTAAGGAGAATAATGATGCTGGTAATAGTAGCAGCTAACATTAATTGAGCACGTGCTCAGAACTTAACATACGTTATCTCAGTACTCATGACAACTCCATGAAGTCTTCATATCGGAGGCTTTTACTTGTCAGATAATTTGCCCAGGATCACCCACCTAATAAACGATACAGCCAGGACTGAACACAGCAATTTTGAGTCTAAGAGCCCAAGATATCCTTGATCCTACTTCTTAGTCAATGGACCTGTTGTCGTAGGTCAGTACCTTTCTTTTACCCTCCAGAACTTTCCTCGTGTTTTAAACTTTGAATCCTGCCTACATTCTTTCTAAATATACATACAGTCTTTTCTACTTGGTTCAGCCTGGTGCTAACTAAAGCGGTGTGTGTGTGTGTGTGTGTGTGTGTGTGTGTGTGTGTGTGTGTGTTTAAGGCGATTTCCTTATTTCCCTTTCTTTCTTTCTTTCTTTTTCTTTCTTTCTTTCTTTCTTTCTTTCTTTCTTTCTTTCTTTCTTTCTTTCTTTCTTTCTTTCTTTCTCTTTCTTGTTTTTGCTCTTCAGTATCTCTTTGCTTGTGGTATGAGTTACCACCCTTCCCTTCCTTCCTTTCTTAGAGATGAATCTAGATGCATGGCGTCTAGAGAGCCTTTTGATTGTGATTGCTGGAGGAGGATGCTGCTGGCTTCAGCGGGTAGAAGCCAGGGAGGGATGCTGCCCAATGTCCTATGATGTGCAGACTAGCCCCCCAAAACAAAGAGTCCAGAATGTCAATAATGCTGAGCTTCAGAAACCCTGATCTAGGTGATGTCTCTCCTCGCTCTCCTAAATGATCTCACATTTCCTTGCCTCAAGCCTAAGCCCCAGATAGCTTCACTGTCTTCTATAATCTTGAGGCTGAAAATATGGTCTGTGGACCAGCAGCATCTGAATCATCCAGGAGTGCCTTGGAAATGTAGAGATTTGGGTGTGTTAGAGCCAGCTTGTACTGCCTCTCCAGCCGAAAGCGTGTGTCTCTTCCCAACTCTGTGTTCAGTGACCTCCTGGTGGTAGCTTGAAGTTCTCATGGTGGAAGTGTCTATACCAAGGAAATCAACAGCCTCCACAAATCAACATACCCCTGTTGAGGCCTCCACCCTAGACCTGTTGAATCACAGTTTGCCTTTTGACAACATCCCTGAGTGATAACTTTGAGAAGCTCTGCCCGACTGCGCAGAATTCCCACTTTCTTCTCTTTCATTTTCTTCTTGTTCTTTTAAGTTTATTCATTTATTTTTGAGAGAGAGCAGGAGAGAGAGAATCCCAAGCAGGCTCGATCCCGTGAGCCATGAGATCATGACCTGAGCCCAAAGCACAAGTTGGACACTTAACCGACTGAGCCACCCAGATGCTCCAGAATTCCCATTGTCCATTCAGTTATGTACATGTGTCCCCAGTCCTCCGACAAAATAGCAACAGAATTGCCTTCTGCCCTGTCCAGTGTTTGCCTTGTTCAGCACCTTCCTTTTGTTTACTTTTTGAACCGACTTTCTAAATCCACCTGTTTCTTCTCTAGAGCATTTTCTCAATTACATTTGTAATTCCAGTTCACTGTGGAAAACTTGGAAAACGCTCCCCCACCCGACCCTGTGGGCAAGACTAGCGCTTGGCAGTTGGAGGCACAGCCCCCAGACCAAGGCGCATTGGTTCCCAGCCTGCACCAGAGCAGCAGCGAGAACCCAGATAGGAGGCGATAGGAGGCTTTTACCG